AAAAAAAAAAAAGCATTCTTCCCTCCCTCTCTCCTTGTTCCTAAGGTCAGCAGCAATAAGTCGTCGCAGTAATCCAATTCAGCCTCGTTCCCTAAACCGATTTTTGTGCTGCACTCTGCAACAAAGCTGTAAGCAACCCAATAACCGCAACCATTCATGTGTACAACTATCCTGTTTATCCATCCATCCATCCATCCATCCATCTATCTATCTGTCCCCGCTCATCCATGCCGCATATGCAGCACTAATTCATCGTATCCGTTGTGTCTATCAAGTGTAAGACCACACACAAAGTAGCGTACGCACAAAACAAAGATAGACAAGCAAACTGAATAAGCACAGTTATAATTAGCCAGTTTTTAAGTGGAAATTCATCAACCATTAAAAATTTCTAATAACTCTGCAGCGGCAACTTCTAACTTTGGAATTAAAAAATTTTATTCTTTTCCTCTACCGCATTATCGCTGTGCAACTGTTCCTTACCTTGCACAGAAAAAAAAGTTGTTTTCCCTTCTTGTTCCTTATTTTTTTCCACATTTAATAATTTTGTTGGCCTCAGAACGCAACTAACGAATGCATATAAATATAATATAAATGAATAAAGCAAATGAGTTGATAGCTGATGATGAATGGACGACAACAATCCGGTGGATCGATGAATATTGAAAGCAGTGCAGTTATCAAAGCCACAACTAATATTCTACTATCCTAAAACCTATCATTTTTATTCTCCAAATGATTACCTGATCAGCAAAACATAGCAGCTGAAATTATGACAATCGATTCTCTTCAGTAGCCTTTGATTTTGCACCTTTTTTTTTCTGCTTCATTTCACCCATACTACTGCTGCCATTTTTGCCGTACATAATGTACAGTTACAGAAAATACTTTCCATTTCGCCTAATTTATTTCCCACATCCAGAAGTCCTGAAAGTTTTAAAAAAAAAAAAATGAAACCTGTTCTTACTCCTCTTAAGTAAAAAAAATCATTTGAGTAGAAAAATCCTTTATTTTCCTTGTATCCTACCATTGAATGAATCCAAAGTGCCAACAATCAACTGAATTTCATTTCACCCAAAAACAGCCGACACAAACACGAATGAGTGACTTTTCACAGCTATGATGCCTGCTTGTTTGTTATCGCATCAATGAACTTCTATCCAAAAGGGCATCGCTTGCCCTTCGTGCACTGCGTTTTGGTTCTGGCAAACGGCTGTATCCAACTCCACTATCAGCCACACTAAACGAAACTCAACTACCGACCAGCACACTTACCTCAATTTCTTTCAACAATACTAATACTGAACTAGCCAAAAACTTCTTTTCTTTGTATGTACCAGCATCATTTACTAAAAGTAATTTTTTGGTTGGACTGCTAGTTATAAAACTGCAGTAGCAAATGCAACAATACTGAATGGCCAATGGCCACCTACCCTGACCAAATAACCAGCTAAGCTACTTAAATCCCTCACCAGCCAACCAACCAGTCAATAGATCGCCAGTTAACCAACTAGACTGTTTCCACTCAATATAACCTTAAGAGGTTGAACAGAGCTCAATTTCCAACGTTATTCCCCAATGTCAGCTTATTAAACAAATATCTGCTGGCTCCGAAAAGCTGACACACTGCACAAGTTGATTAAATTTAACTTCAAAAGCCAAAATGAGGTTCATATATCCTTTTATGTAAACATAAATACATTTGATGATAATGCAGATGCGCAAAGAAAATGTGCGTACAAATATGCTTCAAAAACACATCTATTCAAATAACTATTGTTGTCCGGCAAGAACACTAACCACACTGAAAACTGGCAATTTGTCAAACCTCGACGAGTTGTCTAAAGGAAATAAGTAAAATCTTTTTATTTTAGCAATAATATAAGAGGAGAGAAAGTCAAGTGCACGAAATATAGCTGTATGTTGATGGATGCTGAAAAACAAAATGGAATGAGTTAGTATAACAAGGAAAACATCAGAATTATTGGATTTGCAAAAATAAAAAGATTGTTTAGTGAAATATGAAGCGGAATAACATAGCAGCTGAATATAAACAAAGACAAAAATTTCTTCGCTCTTTTTCGCAATAATTGCAGATAAATTTTGAAACAATTGAGAGATATTGTCAGTGAAAAAAAACTGCAACTTTACCGTCCATTTAAAAAAAAAGATAAAAAAATAAAGAAAAAATAATTGCTGCAGCTAAACTCCGAGCAGTTTACCCACTCAACGTAACAAAAGCATAAGAAAAAAGTAGGAAATAAAAGGAAAAAACAACAAGAGGAACGCTCGAGCCATGATTCCATAAACAACAACAGTGTAACGTACTCTGAGAAAAAACAATTTTGCTCGAATTGATCGTGGTACTCCTGACCACCGATTATCACAAGGCTTAGCTGTAGCAACAAAAATTAGAAAAGTATTTCGAAAATCGGGAAAAAAATTCTTCATAAATCTCAGAGGAAAAAAGACACAAGCAAGCAAAACGCGGTACAACCAACCTGACGAATAACTTGCAAAAATACTAAAGACGTGACAGAGCTGCTTGACTAACTGTTACGCAAATGTGAAAGTGCTACAATCCAAATCAACATAAGAAAAAAACAAACAAACATTGCAAAACATACTCCAAAGCTTCAGCCAGAACTCCGAGAAATAAAAGAAAACAAATCACGTCTAACATAAAAAAAAATTGTCCTCTTCCTCATAACTGCATCATAATAACAGGTCGCCATTTACATAAGAAAATACAATAAAGATTTGACAAAGATTATACGTCCTCGCGAAGGCCTAGCGAAGCGGAAAATAACTTTACATACTGTAACTTGGCATCAACCTTAAATAAAAAAGCAGTCAGGAAGCAACGTAGACAACATATCAAAAATCTAACTTTCAATTTTGACTTGTCCCAAATAATTCACTTACCAAAACCAGACTAAGGATAGAAATATGACTTAAATGAATATTTGAAAATAATTTTCCAGCAAAACAATATTCTCCAACAACGACAACGACAACAGCAACAACAACAAAAAATTTCAACCCTGTACAAACTCTTAAAGGAATGTCATATCAAGACAGCTTGAAGACCAAAAAAAAAAAAAAAAAAACTATTTCACATTATATTATTCACCTTGTAACACCAAAAAGAAAAACACCTATGCTCCCAATCTTTATTTTTGGCTTCTAATTAAACAATAACTACTACACACGCACTTCAAAGATTTTCCGCTTCTTTAAAAATATAAAACAATTATTTTGACAAGTTCCTCGTTATTTGATTAAATGCCATAAATCATATTTATGTCAGCATAGAACAATCAAGTAGTATCAAGTACTCTTAAAAATCTTTAATGTATGCACAAATTTAAGCAGAACTTAACAAAAACTCACAAATAGTAGTGAAACTTTAACCGGCAAAGCAAACGTAGAACAAAAGAAAATCTAGAATTATTTCGCTGGTACTGCTGTCTGCTCATTAACCACCGGCGTCTCAGTAGTAGCGGGCTTTTCTTCCACAACCTAAATTTAAGACAAGTATGGATGAACAACGCATCATTGCACTTTGCATATGAGAGTCAAAGATAAAAACCAGTAAAAGAACCTTCTCTGCAACTTTTTCTGCTTTCTCCTTCTCTTCCGCTTCCTTAGCCAGCTGTTTCGTCGTCTAAAAATCAAAACAACTTAATTTGAAAGATTCGGCCACATCAGTGAATTAAAAATGTTCTTTAAGTACTACGCAAGTAGCCAGTTGAATAATTTTAACCATAAAAAGACCTGGGCAGGCCTACGCAGAAGGAAATTCAGGATTGACTGCACTAGACTGGAATGTACGACCTGAGAGGCCACCTCTGCAAGCTGATCCACGTCAATACCCTAAAACTGCAAGAGTGAAAGCAAAATCATTATATGAAATAACAAGGTTGACCTGCAAAATTTCGTACTCACCCTCTGGTCATACTTTTCATTAATCTTCAAACCCAGTTGAATAACTGTATTGAAAACTGCCTGGTAACCAGACTTCCCCTTTTCCTGGAGATCTGAAGCTGCAAACACCTGCAACATTCTTTGTACATCACAGCATGCTAATTCGAAAACAGTATTAATTTTAACTACTAATTGTTTAAGTTGTCGAGAAAAAAAAACGAAACGCCTCGCTATCAACATGAATTAATCAAATCTTCAATTTTAGAGACACAAAAACTCGCCCTGCTACTTATAAAGCTTTTCTTAGGTTTGTTCCGACCAAAAAATTAAAAGAAATTAAAGAACGAGGACAGATAATGTTTAAACCATTCAGGAATCCCTTATGAGAAGAAAAAAACCAATAACTTTGAAACAACTGCAAATAAACGCGCTAAATAAACTCATTCCTTTTAAACTTTTAAGGCTTCGCAGCTTGAAACAATGAAAGGTGCAGATAAATCTAACTTCTCACAATACGTATTTCAATAGCCCTGTTTTATTAAACCATCAACGTCCACTTGAAATGCCGCAACTCCAAGCGTATTTATTGCTTTTTATGAGCAGTTAAGCTACTAATAAACAAGTTCCCCCTAACTAACCACTATAAAAAACAATAAATGTACAAATTAGTTGAAATTCTGTACGACTAAGACCGAATAAACAATAAAAAGTTAAGAACTACAGAGAAAAAACAACTGTCATCATCTGTCTTTCTGAGGTAAACGTAAACCAAGCACTTAAATATTCACTAATACCGACTTGCTGTTCCGACAGTCCAAGCTCCTTTGCAAATTTAATGAATGCATTAATGTTCGACATTTGCTTTTCTTTATCCCTTGCCTCATCACCTTCATGAACTTTGTCTACAGAATCTGGCTGCAGACGTTTCGCAACTTTAGCTAACATCGAACCATCCCGTAAATAACCTAAGAATTGGTTTTTAGTGACAGCTTCATTTTTTCCAGGCAAAGGCTGCTTTTTATCTTCTTCTTCACAAGCCACTTGTTGCATCCAACGAAGAATATGATAGTTTACCTGGAACATAATCAGACTGAAAACGAAAACACAAAAGTCAAGTGTATTTTAAACAACTTGAAATCCTTTCAGAATTTAAAAAATTAGAAAGCCGCTTTTCTCAACCTTATGTGCAGCTTCTGGAAACTGTGAATTTATCCACCCAATCGGGTCTTCTTTCAAATCCTTTGGAGGCTCCGCAGCTTTTTCTTGCGGCTTACCATTGGTCTTTTCAACTTTCTTCTCTTCTACATCTTTTACGTCTGCATCTGCGGCAGGAATATCATCGGCAGCAGTCTTTACTTGAGCCGGTTCTTCATTAGCCGGAACTGCTGGAGGAGCAGCATCTGGAGCCTTAAAGTGAAGGTTATACCACTCATAAAGAAAGCATATTAGCAGACTAATAATGAATGTTCAACCTCCACAAAATATGAACTTTAAATTTTACAGCTGCCAGAATCAGATAACAAAATATAAAAAATAGACATATATATATTAAAAAAATGAAACCTCGTCCACATTACTGGATGCCGTATTTTGATCAGACATTGTTAGAGCAGATTTCAGTTTAGTCTATTCCTAGAAACAATTGATAAAAGCTTGTGTCAAGAGCATATATGAACAACAAAAACGAATGCGCATAATTTCATCCTGAATGAACATTTTAAAAAAGCCATCAAATACGCCAGTATTAAAAAAGCTCATGACAACATCCTAAGCTTAGTTGAGTGAACCGTTTGCTAATTAACACTAGCACAACACCACTTACCCTTTAAAAATACACAAAAAACACAATGCAGGCAATGAAATGAAAAACCTTTACATACAAGAAATTAAAAAGCAAAAGAAACTTTTCGACTTCATTTTGACCCATCATTCAAACACCATTTTGAGAAAATATTCAATTCGTTTAAAACAATAAAATTTCAGTGAAAATAATGTTAGTGTAAGGAACTTCTAATATTAAAAGTAGATATCTAAGGAAACAAAACAGAAAAAATAAAATTGAAAGAAAAAACATGAGCACCGACATCCAACTCATAGCGACGGTGCAAAAAAATTTTCAAATTTTTTCTTCAGTTCCAAAATATGATATTACACTGACCACTATAACCTATATTCCCCATTCAACCACAAAAAAAGCAGTTCAAAAAGCGTTTTAAATGGCACTAAAAAAATGAAAATTATTTGGTTGCAACAAAATATTCAGATAAGACTGCCGTCAACGTTTTTTTGTGTTCTATGCATTTCAAGAAATGCATACAGAAAATCACTGGTGAATTCGACATGAAGCGATCAGCCGTTGAACAAGTTTCCACATTCAAACACATTTTGTAGCAACTACCTACAAGCAATTCGACATTTCGACCAGTGGAAAAACCCCAGGTTTCCCTGCTGCCAGAATGAACCGAAGTATGAAGAAACTAACAACAATAAATACAGACACCAAGAAGAACATCATAAATAGAGCACTTTTAAATTCCGCAGCATAAAAAAACATTTTACAATACGAACAAAAATGTCATAAATAAAAAATAACATCAAAATAATGGCTTTTGAAAAACTTAACAGAATTTAAAGGATTCAGCGCTAAATGTTTGCCAATACTAATTTAGCCTATAAATTTAAACAAAAAAAGAACCTTCACTGTTAAAGTCAATAAATTGAAGCCACATGCAACTTTAGAAGCTTAAAAAGATTAAACCGCTGATATTGGTTGAAAATAAAACTATTCCGGCGCTAAGATCTGTTGTTACTACTTCTACTTCTCATAAAAGAACATCATCCCTTTCTCCTAACCCAAAACTGCTTTCCTTCTTCTGTAATAACGCACGTTTGCATATAACACAAAAATCTCAACAACACAGTTAGTTTCTTCAAAGGCAACTACTTCTGTTATTTTCCAAAAAAAAATAAAAAAAAAAAAATAAATAAATAAATAAATAAAAACAAACAAGAGACTCGATGAATGATGAAAGTAAAGGCTAATTAGTCATCTGAAGCAAACAATGAGGTGGCCCTCATTCTTGAAAACAATCATTTTCTAAAAAACGTTCATTTCAGGAAGACACCCAGAAATGAAAAAGCAACTCTAATGAAGCGCCACGGAAAACACTGCCAAACAAAGATGGTACAAAGAAAACTAGAAAGGCATTCAACTAAACAGCACAGCTTGCATCAAAAGAGAATTTCGGTTCTGACATCGATACAAGAAATCCTTTCCTTCTACCTAATACCGTCAACTTTATTAAAACGGAAAGATATTTTTCTCAAAAGCACGACGAAACATATTAGGAAAACTGCCCAGAAAGTTAAAAAAATTAACGAATAACCACAAACATACTCATAAGGAAAATTAGCCTTACAATATAATTTTTTAGCAACATACACACAACTACACAAACCTTTTCAAATAAAAAAAAAACCTGGAAAGTAATCATTGAAAATAGTGACAAAAGCAATGCTTTTTAAAAAACGGTAAAGTCAGAAAAATGAAATAAAATCCAAGTAAATCAACTTGATTGACTGGCTGAATAATACGCACCCTGTACCTAACCAGACATCTTTTGTTTCCTTTCCAACACTTCACCAAAGCCTTATGTCAGTTTTTCAGCTTCAGCTGTATAGAACCAAAAAATATGTCAACTCTTTAACCGTCCTTCTCGCAAACCAAAACTACTTCTTACAAAAGTAGCCCTTAAAACTTGGATTTATACTTAACATCTTAACTATTAAAAAATATACAACTTGTCCAGCAAATTCTTGTTCCACTTTAACCAAAAGAATTGCTACATAAAAAATTTAGATGCCACATATTTCACAATTTACTAAATCATGCACTTTCAAAATACTTCTGGCGGGTCAATTTGAGCGCCCGTATCATTTTCGAACAAAACTGACCAATATTGTTCAAAACAGAAAAAGACTGAATTGGACGGCAAATGTGAGAAAGTTTTTTTTGAACAATTTATTTGGTCTATTCAAGAAGATTATCCGGAAATATAACAACTGTTAGCCTTTTTTTGCTCCTATGCTCTCATCTTCCAAGTATATTTGTCCACCAGACTTCAAATAAACCTATACTAGATTACTCAGTGACACTGCAAACCTACAAATGATACTGTTTCAAAAAAGTAGTACTTTTACAAAAAGAAAAAAAGAATAAAATTATAATTTAAAAGAAATAAAACTATAAATATAAATAAATAAAAATTGGAAAAAATACAGAAAT